TAGTGCAGCTGTGCATAAGGTCAATTGGGTGCAATTGGGTCAAAATAAATTAATCAGAATCACTCCCCTTGTAATCAAACAATTCAATTTGTAATACATTACCTTTTTTACTGAAAAAGTATGCAAAAAACATGCGATTAAAAGTGTCCACAAAATAGCACTTGCATTCATTTAGCAAATTTCTCAGATTAATTATGTTTGTGTTGATTTAAGGAAGAAACATTCCCCCAAACTCTCTTCATACAATTTATTTTCACACAGATCTTTATAAAAGTATAGTAAATGTGTAGTTGTTGCTTAATATAATAAATCTTATTTTTGGTTTGATTGAAATCACTTAGATGTTCCTTCATTTGAGGTTACCGACAAAACATTTACAGCGTGTGGTGCTGCGCTGTCTAATCATTGCCTGTACATTAAGTTCTCAACCAAAAAAAGAAACAGATTATTTGAAGACAAGCCATGAACCCAGACCTTTTTGATCAGAGTGAGTCACACACACATGGCTGTTGTTACAAAAAACATCCAAAAACATTACGTTTAAAGGTTTAAATTAAAATTTGATATTTGTTGTCCATGAAGCTTTAAAGGACAACTCCGGCGCAAAATGAACCTTTGGTCTAATTACACATTGCTACCTAGTCAACCGTTATCTGAGATTTGTTTTCATGATTGCCGAATGTAAATAGTTTTATCTCTAAAAACAGTTTAGCCTAGTATAATGCTAGTATATAGGGCATAGAGTAATGACAAGTAAAAATCGCTTGTTATTACCACTAACAAGGCTCAAAATAGCCACACACTAAAACGACAGCATAACAAAGGTGCCTACATTCAAACCGAAGCATTGAGAACTTTGTCAGTGTCCATACAGTTTAATAAGAAGATATTTTATACACACAGTCAACTTAGCGAATACAGGAAGAAGCCATCTTTGAAAATTAGTCTCTACCAGTCGATCTAAGAACGCCGATCCATGTCCACCGGTGAGATGTGAATAAGGTGATAATGTGAGCGCGAACAGTTGGCTACGTGTACATATTGAAGAGAAGAAAAAGGTTCGTGTTTGTGTTTCTTCCGAAAACAACGGACCATATGAGATTATGCACAGTTCAGAGCACATGGATCGGCGTTCTTAGATCGACTGGTAGAGACTAATTTTCAAAGATGGCTTCTTCCTGTATTCGCGAAGTTGACTGTGTGTATAAAATATCTTCTTATTAAACTGTATGGACACTGACAAAGTTCTCAATGCTTCGGTTTGAATGTAGGGACCTTTGTTATGCTGTCGTGTTACTGTGGGGCTATTTTGAGACTTGTTAGTGGTAATAACAAGCGATTTTTACTTGTCATTACTCCATGCCCTATATACTAGCATTATACTAGCACTATAGGCTAAACTGTTTTTAGAGATAAAACTATTTACATTCGGCAATCATGAAAACAAATCTCAGATAACGGTTGACTAGGTAGCAATGTGTAATTAGACCAAAGGTTCATTTTGCGCCGGAGTTGTCCTTTAAAGTCAGGAAGATAAAGCTTGTCTTCTTGAGACCTTGTAACTAAACAGCATTTTCAACTGCAATGGATGGCAATCCAAAGAATGAACTTAGTTCACCCAACAATGAAAATAATTTCATCATTTACTAATTTCACATTGTTCTACATTTCTGGAGAACTTTTTTTTGTCCAATGTCATTTACTTTCTTTTTATAGTATGAAAAATAGGGTTTGGAACAACATGAGGATGAGAAATGACAACTTGGAGGTATGTTCGTATCTCAAAGTGCTTCACTGCCTCGACGGAAAGCCTCATAACTCTCTCAGAAAGATTTCCTCCCTCTGAATCAGTATTTAGAGACATTGAATTACAGCAAGCCACCAGTGGCTATAGATATCCTGGCACTGCCCAGCAAAGACAGGATAATTATGTATTGCGGTGAGTTTGACATGCGTGGCGCACTGACAATCCTACTCTCCTAAATTCTGCAGCAGCCGCTCTCTCTTTTTGACCATGCTCAGTAAATCTGGCCCAGAACAGGAAGTCTGGAAACACACACAACATGTGATTCTACTGATGAAATTCAACTGTGTTTTGAAAAACATTAAAGAATTCAAAACTTTACTGCTCATTTCAACATAATTATTTTCTTTAACTTTCATATTCCCCAGAAAAATTATGTAGTATTATACTCAATTTCCACGGTTAAATTAAAAGTATAATAAATTTTCATACCTAAGCTAAGATTTCAATAGGGAAGGGAAGCATGGTTTTTCTTCATTTCCACTTTAAACATGTATTGGGCAACCGATGTCACAGTATTTTGGAGACTTGTCACAGCGTTTTAAAATAATTAGTGATTCCCGTTCTCAATGACACACAAAAATACACGGATAAACACAAAATTATTCATGGCTGGAAACAGGAGAAACGAAGAGGGAGAGGTCTGTGAGAGCGAGTAAAGATCCACCTGAAATGAACAGATACACTTAGACAATTATAGTATTTAAAGAGTGAGTCAGAGAGAAGGAAAAGGATGAGGATTGGAGTTTTCTCTCTGACAATGGCTTCATTCATCACAGGCTTATATTATACATGTTTCAAAAGGAAATGTCCACTTAGTCCTCCAGAGCTCAGCCTCACCACCACACCTTTGATTCCAGGCCTTGTCAAAATATTCGCCGGAAGATTTACAAGGATAACACCATCAGTGGTGAACGCAAGTGTCGGGCCCCTTGAGGCCCAGGTAAATAAACTCACAAGTCAAAGACAAATTGGTATTCATCAGGTTTCAGACGAGACCTTTCAGACGACAAGCTGTTTTCTCACCAAAGTGGAGCATATTTCAAAGCATGATATTCTCAAGGATTGACTTTTTAACTGCAATTGTTTCTAACAAATGATGAGAATGGAAAGATATTTTACTTACAGATTTGAACACACTTTTGAATGTTAGATGTACATTAGTGGTGTAATGAGATGTTTAGTCTATAGATGGCGCTATAGACAGAGCTTAGTCACCACTGATGGAATCTGTCCGGCAAATAAGCTGGTGTTCTTTATTTGGAATGATTTATTTGACACTCAAAAAAATCAGGAGTATGCCATATAAATGAATTCCTGCAATTCGTAAAAAGATTTCCTTGTTAATTTATGGTTTTTACAAAGTAGCCAAATGAAGCCAAAAATATCAAATGTAATGTGTTAAAGTAACTTTAAGCAACCAATGCAATGCTTCATTCGAAACAATTAATAAATAAACACTGCTTTACAAAAAAAAAAGAAAAAAAGATGGACTTATTGCTGATAAATTAGAGACGCAAGTAAATCAAAACAGTAGAAGGGGAAAATAATGAGTGTTTTAAGAAAGAGCTGCTTCACTGTGGGTGTCTTGTGGCTTCATACACTCTTCATTTATGCTGCAATGCTGCCCCCTAGAGTTGCGATGGAATAAGACAAACACCCGTGACGCTCAGGGACCGCTGGATTTTGACTTCAAGTCTGGTTAGCCGAGACTAGATCTGTGGCCGGTTGGACTAGACTAGTCTTACAAATTAAGTAATTGTTTTCTTCAAGACTGTTCTTAACTTTTGTGGTAGATTTTCTCTACGCACCTGACTAAGTTAACCTGGGGCGTCTCCTAATCGACACATAAGCCTACAAATTAGAAATGTAGGCTATACGGTGATCTATAGCCTAACTAAACTTACTCTTCGACATGAGTCGGCTATGTGCCTTTTGAACACTATCACATGGGATTAAGTGTTCCACTTCTAGTTCACCCAAAAATATTTTTTGTTAGTTCACCCAAAAATGAAAATTCTGTCAGTATTTACCATAGGCTGTAAAAGGTATTTACTCACCCTCATGTTGTTCCAAGCTCGTAAGATCTTAATTCATCTTCGGAACACGAATATTTTTGATGAAATCTGAGAGCTGGATCACTCAAGGGGTGCCCAACCCTGCTCGTCTTGCACAGTTAATCGCCAACCCTAATCAAACACACCTGCCTGATTCCATAGGCTTCTTGAGTGATTGAAACCCCGGCCTCGAAAAGTTTTTAAAGACATCGTTAAAATAGTCCAAGTGACTACCGTGGCTCAATCTTAAATTTAGTCTTAAGATTTTTTGCCTGTAGTCATTGCGTGACAACATGTAGCCTAATGGTTTTTTTTTTTCAGTAGCCACTCCGAAGTCCGAATGAAGTCTTTTGCATTTTACAGGTAAATCTGTTGTCACTGGGATCGTCGTTTGAACCTTTCTGGGTCCTACATCAAATTGATAAGTTTAAAGGAGTAGATCACTTTAAAAAACAATTAGCAGATAATTTCCAGACGATGGAAAGGGTCTTATCAAGCTAGTCTACATTCGTTGAATGAACCAAATGACTCGAAAAAAGATTCATTCATTCTGATGAACGAGTTCGAACAGGGGAGTCACAAACGAGTCACTTAGCCTACCTCAGGGATGAGGTTCTTGCTCTTGTGTATTATTCTCTTCTCTGGCAGTGACATTAGGTTGTTCTCATGTCAAAGTATTAGGAAATAGTCCGACATCAGAGGAATGTAGTTTTTCTTGAATTGCCACCAAATTAAAACTTAGAAAAGCTCAGCAGTAACAAACTTAATCGGCCGCCATCTTGGAATCTCGATCTGCTCACATCTCTCTTTCTTCAATGAGCATGTGACGTCAGCACCACCGACTCAATTCTTTATTATTTTCGTCCCTCATCGCGAAAAACAAAATAATAAATAAAATAATAATAAAACATACGTCTGAACATTTCATTAGGCAAGGAAAAATATATATAAAAAAAAAATCATGCATGAAAATACATAGGAACACAGCCTCAATTAATTGGTTGGGTTACATTTACATGACTCAAGCAAGCATGGAATCTATCTTCTTTCTTTGTGAAGTCTCAGTTCCAAAACAGAAATCCTTCTGAATTTATGTGGTAGAAGGAAAACTAATTTCATTAAATTGAATGAACAGATAATTTTTTGCTTTCTGAATGTGACTTTATTTTTTGGATAATGGAATGACAGATGGAACAAGAATGGAATTACAGCCAGTTTTATTTACAAAGAGTTTGCTTCAAGAGGGCCCCATCCTTAATACAAAACACAATCCTTTTTGACTGTGTCTTGCAGTCTGTATGGCGTCTAGTAGAGATGCTAAAGCTAAGCACAATGCGCTTATTCCTCATCTAAGTTCAGATAACAGATAAACAGCTCTCATTAGCACAAATGAACACATCTTACTTTTGCTACAAGAATTCACATAGGCTAAGTTATTATGCATCCACCCTTTTCCTTGAAGGGATTTTTGTCCTCGGGAACTCCTTTTACAAGAGGATCTTCTGCGGCTTGGGCCTCAACCCATTCACAAATCTCCTTTGCAGTTTTAGAGACCTGAGGAAAGGAGGAAAAGTATGTCAGATACGTGCCTTTTACTGGAACCTGAAAGCATTATATAAACAAAATAAACATAAACGAAATATTTAATAAACAAAAAATGCAAGGGGGCTATGTAAAGAATGAATGAGACATATTTCTTTGGGCTGCCAAATAAATCAGAAGGCAGAGGAACTTACAGGCTCTCTAGTGTTCTTAACCTCCTTCTGAAGTTGTTCCAGCTCCATTTTCAGGATGTCCTTATCGGACATATCCCGTGCCATCTTGCCCTGAGCAAATAAAGTTATTGGGTCTAATGTTAAATCTGTGATATTGGCACACGTTTTTGTGTGTTTTATTTGCATTTCCAAATACCTCCATATACCCCAATAGCTGTCCTTTAAAATCAATTTACTTTATGACACATTATGGAAATGGAAATGCTTATATTAAGCGTCAATGCATTTACAGATTTTACCATTCAGAAGTCAAGTGAGCAGAACAGGTTCAGTGCATGATTGTGTAATATTAAACTATTGGAAAAAGATCAGTTGAGTCGCCATAGTAAATTGACAGCTCTCTTGCTATTTAAACAGACTGAATATTTTTACACAAGAAAACCGAATAACAACACTAAACAACTTAAACCTGTCTGTCACCCAAGTTACAAATATTCATTGTGTTTAGCGTTGTCATTGCTTGTTTCTAGAGAGTTTGCAATTTAACTAAAAACGACTTCTCTCATTAGGTGTGAACAAAATTGCTAATATTAATCTAATATCAAATTGTATTACATATGATAAAAGTAAAAATAATTATGTAACCTAAATATTTATGTAACTGATTCTACAAAATGTAATGTCACATAAAATGACCATATACAAATTTCAAGACCTTTTGACACAAGTAGCGTTTTCCACATGAGCATGATAAAGTATGTCATAACTTATTTATATGGTTCTTCCATTTCTTCTTCCGGCAAGATGATTTTCCACTACTGCAATTTACATTGATATCATTCAGATGATAGCATAGTATTACATCATTCAAAATTCCTCGTAAATTTTACTCACATACTTACTTTTATCTGTTCTGTATTGTTAATATATGCATATTGTCACTCATATAATTCATCGTTAGAACATAATTATGCATACATACACATTTATCATCTTTAGAGCATTGTTATGTTATACTTACCTATCGGTCAGTGGGGCAGCCAATGGAGGGAACAGGTCACTCTCTGCACTTTAAGCTACCATGTGCAAGGTTTGTGGTCTGGAGATGAACTGAGCGCGTTGTTCTGGTGCTGGAGTCTCTTCAGGATCACCTCCAGATGGTAAGACGTGGGGGGTGGGTCTGATCCCCAACAAGCACACTTCCTTCATCCAGATTTCTGATCAGCTTAAGCCATCGCGGTAATTAAGGAGGTCAAATCACACGGAATAAGGGCAGAGTGTGTGGGCTGTTCTTCTAACAAGATTTCATTTGATGTAATGTCATGTACATGAAAAAAATTGATTTTGTGCGAGATTTATCTCTGCATATTATGATTTTAAGTGCTTCAGCTTTGTTAAAAAAAAAAAAAACACAGTTGACCTTCTCTTGAAAAGTGAATTAGTTTTGGATAAGAGCAGGTGGCCTAGACATGACCGACTGAATGTGTGAGCCACCCTATTAAAAGTCAATCATCCCGAAACACATCAAGAAGTATCAATAAGTGGTTGATCGATATAGGGTTTTGCTGATGGACAATAAAATGCTTATACATAATTCAATTTACACTATATTTACTCCAAGAAATTAGCAACAAATGTATTACTACATTTCTGAAATTAAATATATTTTCATTGTAAACAATATTTACTTAAATAATTTATTGATTAATTCATTCATTATCAATTGACAAAACTGTTCTTAAAATAGACAGTTAATCAGCCTGGTTGATATATAATCTCATCATTTATAATTACCAATTACCAATTACTGGCATGGGGATCACTCATTTTGAAATGCATGTTTTTCAAGGCAAGAGACACAAATATTATGACCTCTGATCTCTCTTTATAGAGGCACAGACCTGTGTGACTGTTGACATGGGAGTTATCCTTGATCCTTTTTATTGTCTGATAGCACACTTGTAGGTAAGTGTTAGCAGACAAGTCACACCATGTCCACGCATTTCAAATAAAATCGGAATATTTTGATATCCATAATGGCAGAGAAATGCAAATGTTGACCTATAGTCTGAATGATCTTGTATTTGGTATTTTAACTTTGTTATGTCTATGCCAATTAAAGGCCTCATCTGAGTGATCTGTTATCTTGGAGACAAGCCGCTTGCCTTAAATACGTCACCTCAGCTAATCCCATCACAAGGTCTTGACTGTCTTAATCCAAGAGATTAGACTCAAAGATGTCATTCTCACTCTTGCTTTTCACTATGAAATATAGAGCAAGGTTATTTATTTCCTGTTGAATGGATTTCCTTGCTAATAACATAATTGCCCTTCCTTTAAAGGGTTAATCCCCCCCCCTCCCCCCAAAAATTGTCATGAATTAATCTCCCCTCAAGTTGTTCCAAACCTGTAAATTGTTCATTCATTTTCTGAAACACAAATAAAGATTTTCAAAATAAAATCTGAGAGATTTCTATACCTCCATTTGTCCTCTACCACTTTGTCATTTCAAAAGTTCATGAAGAGAAAAATAGTCAAACTAATCTGTTGCAGCCCTTGGCTCCTTAATAAATGGCAGAGAGTCTCAAACGGGTGCAGTAATTTTTATTCATCCAAATCAGCGTGAGCACCGTGAAAACTATAAGTAAACACAAATAGCTGATTAATGAACCTTTAGACACAAATTCGCAAACAAAATCCTCACCTCATTTACAGTACATCAAGATGCATTTTTGTACATGTACAATGCAAATCAAGTGACCTTTTAAGTTATTTAAATAACAACTAAAGACAATAATTGTCTCCTTTAACATATACACTTTCATGGTACAAGATAAACAACAAAAATAATTTCCAATAACAGTCAAAATTTGACATTTTACATCCTTGAAGTCCTATTATACATAGAGCCAAATGACACACCTTACTCCGCTCACCAAGGGTGCAAATTTTAGATTTGCTGCTTTTCGGAATTAGCCGCTAGCTTGAAGGTCTCTGAACTAAAACAGCACACACACACATGTGTGGAAATAAGACAAAGCAAACTTCACCAAAAACGCATGAAAATGGAAATACATGAACTACTTAATATTGTAAAGTGAAGAGCACCAGGATTTCACAATTTACACAGTTTAAGAGTCAACTTACATGTCCCTGATCTTCGGAGATGAGAGAAGTCAGGCAAGTGCAAATCGAATTATTAGTTATACAGGTTCCTGGGTGCACAGCCTCCAACCCAGTCACATGAATTACCTCACTAAGAATATACTACCTCTAGCGGCCTCCAGTGGCCACTTATCTAAAATCTTGTGACTTGCAGATGTCATCTGTGCAATTTGTTGTTTTATCTGATCGCACAGTAATTTGTTTGTAACTACTGTGTGATCAGTAATTACTTCTAATCAGTACTTGATGTAGTTAAGATAATTCTTAAAGAAATGATGGGCTAGTTTTCTCTTCTCTTCAAGTTTCCCTTGAGTCCGGTATGAGTCATATTCGGTTTGTGCCCGATGTGTCTGGTGACCAATAGAAAGTCCTTTGCATGATGCGACTAACAGTTTCCCAAGTGCATCAATGAAGAACTCTGTGGGGAAATAAATAAAAGGAGAATTTCAGAATTAAAATGAAGAATAAATGGATCAATCAATGAAGATGTTTTACTGATGAAAAATGTAGTATGTTTACCGGTGTGTCCTACTCTTTTAAGTAATGGGTCAAAGCCAATTCTTCGGATGGCTTCAGTCCTCGCCAAGAAATAATTAATGACGCCATCCACTAAAACACATCGATCATAACCGGAAAGTCGCTGATGGAATCCTCCTTTAATACGCTTTAGACAACCACCTTCTTCATCTCCCTCATCATACTCGAGAGTGAAATGGAACTGGTCATCTGAGACATCACCACCAAGCTAAAAAGAGAAAAAGAGCTTGTTTAACAGTGCTTTAGTGCTCACCCCTCTAAATAATATAATTTCAAACTTACCACGTCTAGTTCTGGAACTGCTTCCATAATCTCCACAAAACTCTCAATTCGTGTCTCTTTCAAGAACAAAAAATCATCATCTACCCACAAGAAGTATTTTGTTGTGAGTTGGGATAAAGCCAGATTTCTGCCTGCAAACCATCCCTGAGGAACCAAATAATCATTAGCAGTGATTAGTTGCCAGGTAATCTACAGTTATAATCCAAGATGTGTGACATACAGCATTAGATCAAATGAAGTGTTGAGGCCGAGGTGTGTACCTGTGCAGGAGGCATGATGTAGTGCTCAATGTTGTTTCCAGACACATGCTCAGGCTTCAGGCTGTCATCCGCAACAATGATCTTGATATTTGGGTAAAACTTCCTGATACTCTGGATGAGGGTGTTCAGCTCCTTATACCTCAGGAACGTCTTGGTAATTATGGTAACCTGTGAGTTAATATCTGAATTGAAAAAGAGAGAGAAGTAGGTGCATTTCATTAACAGGTTTTACAAACTTTATAGATGTTTAGGTATTGTTATAACAAGCATGTCTGATGCCATGGTAGCATGCTGTTCTGTAGTGTTTTAATTCGTGGCCTTACCTTTTCCTGGGTCCAAAAGAACAGGAACTGATGGTCTCCTGATCATGAGTGGGAATATGGCTTTGTGGTCATCGTAAGAGAAATGAACTAGAAAGAAGAAAAAGAAGACATTTATTTTGTTTCTATTTGGGCACATTCACAGAACAGAACAGAAAAAAAGAGAAAAGCAAGAACTACAACTGCCTTCCAGCCATGGCTTTAGATTAAATCAACTTAAGATAAAAGAAGACATTGAAAATCTCATGACAACCCTCAATGCAAGTAAATCATATGTGACTAAATAATGTCGATCATTTGACATTAGCTAATCAATAGATTTTACTCGACAGTGTGTATGTTAGAGGCTAATTATATTTAGCATAGATATATTTTCACTATATTTTCACATTTTAACAGCGTTTCAAGGACTCAGGGCTTGCTGTTCACAAGTTAACGTACCTGGAACATCAGAGGGCCTACAGCAAGTCCCTCAGTGACACCCGGTCCCGTTTCTACTTCCATATAAACTGCAATAGCCCTCCAAGCAACTTTTCTCAACCATAAATCGTCTCCTCAAACCTCAGATCCCCCTACACTTGGAGAACATGCCGGAGAGTTGCAAAACCTTCATCTCCTTTTACACAAAAATTGTAAAGATCTGTTCCCTTCTCTCCAGCCCCCCCCTCCTCCAGCCTCCCACTGTATCTGCTCCTTCGCACCCAGTTACATTCACTGACCCTCAATCTGGGACTACACAGCTCCTCTGCTGTTTTACGGATATCACTCAGCATGACATCGAAGACACTGTAAGGAAGATGAAGCCCTCCACCTGCGATATGGATCTTTTTCGCTCAGCCCCGATAAAAAAGTAATTCCTCTACAATAAGTCCCATAATGACCAATATAATCAATCAGTCTCTCCGATCTGGCAAAGTTCCTAAGTCTTTGAAAACTGTGGTCATTAAGCCAATACTCAAAAAGCCTTGCCTTGACCGCAAAGTACCAGCTAACAACTTCAACCTCCCTTTCTGTCAAAGGTTTGCTCCACAATCATCTCGCAAGAAACAGTGTTTATGAGAAGTTCTAGTCTGGTTTTCGCTCTGGCCACAGTACAGAAACTGCCTTGGTCAGGGTCACTAATGACCTGCTGATGATCTCACTGTTAGGGTTGGGTATCGTTTGAATTTGAACGATTCTGATTCCGATTCCGATTCCTTGTTTCGATTCCGGTTCCTAACGATTCTCGATTCCGATTCTTTTAAGAGGCAGGGGCAAAAAAGTTTAGCTAACCTCGCTAACCAACGGCCTTTCTGAAGGAAATAATCCTTTCTGAAGGAAATATTCCTTCTGTAAAAATTCTCCTTTTGTCACAAATTTTGCATTTTGCCGAGATTTCGTTATTTTTAGAAAAGTGAAGCCACACTTTGGATCGCCGACGTAAGGTACTCATGTTCGACTCGCGTGGTTATGCCAACACTTCCGGTAGACGCTTCTTCGTTGGTGTTGTTCAGCGGTTTCTTCTTTCGCTCGGCGGACTGTGAATATCGAAACTAGGAATCGAAATTTTAACTTTTGAACGATTCCGGGAAAAACAAAAAGTTAGTCTCGGTTCCAATCGATACTCGATTCTCGATACCCAACCCTACTCACTGTAGCATTTGACACAGTTGACCACCATATTCTTTTACACTGCCTCCACTCCTCCATTGGACTCTCTGTTACTAATCTGTCCTGGTTTACATCATATCTCACGGACAGAACTGAGTATGTATCCCTGGGTGCTGCTAAATCGGACCCATACTCAAGGATCCCTCAAGGATCAGTCCATGGCCCCACCCTCTTCATGCTTTACATGCTCACCCTTGGTCATGTCATCCGCCAGCACGGAATATCTTTCCATTGCTACGCTGATGACACCCAAATTTGCATCAAAACAATCCAAACCTCTCTGCAGCCCCTTCCATACTTTCAACCAGTGTTGTAGTACTCGAGACTCGGACTCGTCTCGGACTCGGTCTCGAGTCCATATTTTAATGGTCTTGGTCTTGTCATGGACTCATGTCCATTTGGACTCGGAATTGACTCGTACTCGAACATTTTTTTTTTTAGGACTCGGAATTATTCCCGAGTCCACTCGAGTTCAATTAAAAATATTTTTCATGATTATTAATGTATGTTAATAAAATATTTCTTTAAATTGATTGACACGCCCAGTGATTGGTGATTTTCTAGTGCGCAACTGCGCATGACAAATTGTAATAAAATTACTTTTAACACCACCTACTATGTGGCCTTTTTACCCTAAACTGATCATATTTTTAAACTCTAAGTAAATTCACAAAAAAAAAAAAAATTTCTCTAAGTAAATAAAAGTAAATTAGGTAATCAACCCTCACTGGTCTCGGTCTCGACTCGGACTCGACCGTCTCTGGTCTCGGACTCGACTCGGACTCGACTCTCTATGGACTCGGTCTTGACTCGGACTCGACTCTCTCTGGTCTCGGTGTCGACTCGGACTCGCGTGAGGTGGTCTCGACTACAACACTGCTTTCAACCGCACCAGACCCAGTCATACACCAGCATCACCTTCTCTGGTCATGATATCCACCTCTCACCCTCAGATACAAACCTTGAGTGTTAGAATGGACCCTCACTTGACCTTTGAGGCCCACATTAAACATCTTTGTAAAACCACTTTCTTTCATCTTATGAACATTGCAAAGCTCCGACCAATGCTCACTTTCCCCGAAGCCGAAAAACTTGTCCATGCCTTTGTTTCCCCCAGGCTGGATTATTGCAATGCGCTCCTAATCGGGATCCCAAGCAAGAACATCAAGCAGCTGCAGTACATCCAGAACTGTGTTTCTGTTTTTATTCTGTTTTCTATTGTAGAACTTTGAGGTCATTGAATTGATGTAATGTAGATAATGTAGAAAAAGTGACAAAATTGTATGCAATTGAGATGAAGGGAACCATGTTTATTTACTATGGAAAAGTTGATTGTGGTCATATAAACCCCAAGGTAGTGAGCACACTGAGAAATGTTGATTTAATCTGGGTCCTAACCCATGTGGGGCCTACTTGGAAACTGCGACAACACTGGCTGGGCCTCAGTTATGGTGCTTTTCCACTACACAGTACCAGCTCGACTCGGCTCGTTTGTTTGGGTTTCCACTGTGTAAAAGTTGTACCTGTACCTGCTTTCGGGTACTTTTTTTGTATCACCTCCGGCTACGTTCTGAACGAGCTGAGGCGATACTAAAATGTGACGTGAAAACAATGCGAGAGACATGGTCAAGAGAGTCTCATCACTATTCACGGTGTCATAATTGCATTTGCCTGATGGAGTATCCAGAATAACTTCGCCGTTTTTAAATAGTTTGGCCAGAGATAGTTACTAAACTTACTACAACTTCAATTTATGGCAACTCTGAAGAATATGCCATGGTCAAACGAGGAGGTGCAGACTTTCCTTTGTTTGGTTGCCGAAGAGAGGATCCAGCGAGAGTGTGATGAGGCAAAAAGGAACGAAAGGCATCGCTATGACGACCAGGTACTATTTGTGGCGGTACTGTCAGCAATGGAAAACGGAGCGAAACGCGAGCCGAGTCCAGGCGAGGCGGTACACAGAACGTTCCCCTAACGTTCCCGAATGGTCCCATGAGGTTATTTTTTTGGGAACCAAACAAGAACGTTATAGGAACGTTCCATGTAGGTTATTTTTAGGTTCCGTTTTTATAATATAAGGAGAATGTTCCGGGAACGTTCCCTTAACCTTAAGGGAAAGTTCTAGAAATGTTCTGGGAATCAAAATCTAACGTTCCCAGAACATTCTAAGAACCTAAATTTGTTTGCTGGGCATTAGATAGCCCAGGTCAAGCCCATCTGGGCCCCACATGGGTGTGCTGGCTGGAAGGCTGCAATTCAGTAACTCCTGTACATTTATATGCAGCTATACCTTACCTAAATCTTCAGCCTTGACACGGTAGATAGTGCTGGTGTAGGTCACTCTTGATAGCAGATCATTGAGTTGTGCGAGGCTGCTAGATGAGATGTTCAGTTCACTCTGACCCCGTCCATCCACCTGCTGTCCATCCAGAACCTTCTCTACTGACAGCACTCCACTCTTCACGCTCAAAGACACCTGCAGACATCATTGTGTTTAATGCAAATGTAAGTTTAGATTTAAAATGGAATCACAATTCACCTGTCTCAAGATTTTGCATCAACATGCATTTAACGCTTAAAGCAGCAGTCCGGCGTTTTTCTCCTTTTTTGCCATTTCTGTTCGAAATCTGTAATTGCAATTATTCGCAGAATTATCAACTTTTTGTGAGTTGTACTTCAACACCCTCGACACGGCACAGCGCGGATGAACACAATGTTTGAGGAGACTGTGAGACTGTCAGTCACTGCGCCAGTGTGGATACTGACATTCAGAATCACAGATTATTAGGTAACACTTTATTTTACGACCCGCAAACAACTGTGTAAGTACACCGAAATTACGGTGTACGTTTCTGTAATTATAGTGTACTTCCGTGTAGGTATAAGGGAATAATATGTTAAGTTTGGGGTAATAAAGGGGTAACAAGCAGATATACAACCTGCAAATAACTTCGTAAGTACACTGAAATTACGGTGTATATTTCTTTAATTATGGTGTACTTCAGTGTAGGTATAAGGGAACAATATGTTAAGTTTGGGGTAATAAGGGGGTAACAAGCAGATGTACAAGCAAATTATTTAATTAGTTAAAAAATAACAGGTACCTATTCTGTTAATATATTCCAGGCAAAGATTGTACGTCTGTTTTTTATAAAATGTATCACATTTCTGGCAAACATGTTCAGGATAATTTTGACATCTGTGGGTTGAAAATTAAACATATACTGTATATATATATATATATATATATATATATATATAAATGTATTGGCTTTTCTTACTAGATTACTAGAAAAGTCAAAATAATTTGTTTCTGCTATGATTTTAATTTAGACCGTACCATGTGGTAATTAGTACGTACCGTGTCCCATTGAATTGCAATGACACTTAAATGTCAGGGCAAATATACTGTGTAATTAAAACGTTTTTTTTTTTTGTTGTTGTTGTTTTGTTTTCTTGATAAAAGTACCTTTCTCTGTAATTACAGTGCAAAAAGTGTTGTTTCGTTTTGCTACATAGTAAGTAGCGTTTGTTACCCCCTTGTTCTGCGTAGTTACAGGGTAAGTGTAACTCCTGCGGGCTGTAAATTAAAGTGGCGCTTGTTACCCCTCCTGTTCTGTGTAGTTACATAATAAGTGTAACTCCTGCAGGCTGTAAATTAAAGTGGTGCTTGTTACCCCTTTATTACCCCAAACTTAAAATATTGTTCCCTTATACCTACACGGAAGTACACTATAATTACAGAAACGTACACCGTAATTTCGGTGTACTTACACAGTTGTTCGCGGATCGTAAAATAAAGTGTTACCGATTATTATTTTTGGAAGTATGACCAACATAATAATTTTCACCGGATAATGTCATCTGAACTAGTAACATCCACTCGCAAATAAGTTATCATGCAAAACCGTGCAAATTATGCTTTGTTCTCAAATTGTTAATGTTAACAATGTAAGCATTGTGTGATTACATGCAATTTCCTTTCCGATATGTATCCTTGCTTTCGCATGGTTCCGGTTGCAGTCTCTTTTTTTCTGTAGCCACTCCGACTTAACAAGTCCAAACGAAGTCTTTTGCATTTTACAACTGGTGAGTCTCTAGTTGTCGCTGGTGATTGTCATTTGAATCTTTCTGAATCCACCATCAAATTAATGCATTTAATCAAGTGCTGTGTGAAAAGGCTATACATCTTCACCTCCAAGTTGCTCACACGCAATATAACCTACTAGCGGAGACTCCTTTATGTGAACAGATGTGACGTAATGACGCAAAGACATTGAATCTCTTCCACCAGTACTGGTGATACTGGAAATCCACCAGTACCACTGGAATTAAAAACAATATAAGCGGTAACTTAAAGGGGTGATGAACTGAGAAATCTAATTTTCCGTGAGCTTTTGACATCTAAGAGGTCATCATATTATAAGAATATCCTGTAATTGGTTTCAGAACTGAAAACGTTCTTGTTAGTCCAATAAAAGCTTTTATTGACACAGCCTCTAAAAACGACTCGTTTTTAAAAGTGGGTAACTATGACGACAAATAGGATAAAACACCACCCCCACAGAAGATGATCAACGCCTGCTTCACCACGGCAGGTTTAGCCCCGCCCACCGATTCGCGCATTACACAGTAGGCGTTTCTCAATGTCAAGGAAGGATCCTCGGAAGCCGGAATTTCGAGGATGCTACGTCATCGACGTCCGTCGAAGGACTGTTCCAATGTCAAGGATCCTCAGAATTTCAACCAAGGACTGAGTCCTTCGTTCGGAAAATATCCCATACACAGGAAAGGATGCATATGTGTAGCCTTCGCGCTCTTAAATCACCCACAATCCTATGCGCAGCTTTGCTATCTTGATCAAAAAATAAAAAAATGTCGACCGTTAGCGGAGTCGGAGTGATAACGGCAATATGCTTTCAAATGTAAGCAAGTATAATTTCAGTTTAGCCATTTATTTAATGTTTGTTAAACTATTTAACATATCGGCTCAAATTTGCTGAGGTTATTTTGTCACTCATTTGGATTAGTATGAAAGCTGCAACCATTCACATCCAGTCTTTGTGCTAAGCTAGGCTAGCGGTGGGTGCGTCAAACAGACTTATAGCACGCACGGAGATGAAAAAGGTATGTATGGACTTATCTAACTCTGGGGGATAAGGTGAATAGGCTAAAGTCCCAAAAAGTCGGAGTGTTCCTTTAACAAATAGTATTTCATGGTGAAAAAGGATTTTAATGTGCATGCATATTGAATGAATACCATACAAGAGCTTTTATATCTATGGGGGAAAAAAAATCAAAAAGGGCATTAGAAGATTAAACCAACCTTGTAAGCCTCCCTCTTGATTGTTGTCTCACATCTTCCTTGTGTTTGAAGAGCGAGACCTGAAATTATAATATAAAACAATTCACTTAAAGGCAGAGGTGATTTTTTGCTATGCTGGTCCCTCACCAATGCACCGATATGAACATTTTGGCCGATACTGATATAATTCTTTCTTTCTAAATTCAAATTTTGATACACTTTGGGACCCTGATTACAAAAACAAAAAAGCTTACCATACAAATGCACGTCCCAAACACTTCAATATCATACACATTCAATACAGTAGCCAAGTTTGAACCAGTGTAAGATTCCTTAAATTTTCAAATTAATTTTACATTCCTACGGCCAACATTCTTTATTAAAAAATGGTAACACTTTATAATAAGGTTTAATTTAGTAAGCAATAATTAACGAATTATATAAGTAACGAATTACTCACTGTGTTTCGGACAGTTAAGGAGGAGTAATTTATTTCTAATATAAAACGCGTATATTTTAACAAATATAAGTTGGTAAAGTAATCATATTAATCTTCATAACTTTGTCGTATAAGCGTCTATACACTCTTTTAATCGACAATTGCTCATTTGAGCATTATATTCTAACGTTATATTTAAGAATTTTAAATATTTTAATCATAATTATTTTATAAGACCATAAGAATGTTTTTTCCGTCATTTTCTGGTGGGTGATCGTGTTTTAAGAGCCGCTTTCTATAGAGTTATTCTCCCCTCGTCCTTTTTGTCCTGCCGGTGTTAACCTTTCCCTCGTCATTTTCTGAACAGTCAATGGTGTACGTTATAGAAACTCTGATTTCTTTGAAACGACTGGCTCTGGAAACATAGGGTTGGTTGGAATCGAAAGATGAGGAGGCAAAGTATGACACAGATATATGCCGTGTCCTGAAAGTGTTTATTTATAGAATTTGCGAGAAAAGTTCAAGTGCCCGGAATACCGTGATGTCCGGAATACAGTGAGTCTACGTAAGTGTGATAGTGTAGGCTTAACTGTTAAAGGGTTAGTTCACCCAAAAATGAAAATTCTGTCAGTATTTACTCACCCTCATGTTGTTCCAACCCCGTAAGACATTCGTTCATCTTCAGAACACAAATTAAGATATTTAAGATATTAAGATCGCTCCTGCATACTAGTCCATAGGTTCTTGAGGGACTGGCTCTTGCTGTCCCCGAAAAGTAATTAAAGACATCGTTAAAATAGTCCAAGTGACTACAGGGGCTCAATCTTAAGTTTGTCAAACGACGCGAACACTTTTGTGCGCAAAAAAACAACAAAAATAACGACTTTATTTCAACTATTCACTTCCTTCTCCATAAGACTGTAGTCAGTTAACGTAGTGTGATTGCGTAGAGCTACGTCACACGTAGGCTCACTATTGGCCGACGCTGGTCATGTGTGTGTGATGCGTGTGACGTACAATAACAGAAGCTTACGCTATTAATCTAGTAACCTGACTCGCGCAGAGGGAGAAATAAACGAATAGTTGAAATAAAGTCGTTATTTTTGTTGTTTTTTTGCGCACAAAAGTGTTCTCGTCGTTTGATAAACTTAAGATTGAGCCCCTGTAGTCACTTGGACTATTTTAACAATGTCTTTTATGACTTTTCGGGGACAGCAAGAGCCAGTCCCTCAAGAAGCCTATGGACTGTATGCAGGAGCGATCTTAATATCTTAAATATCTTAATTTGTGTTCCGAAGATGAACGAAGGTCTTACGGGGTTGGAACAACATGAGGGTGAGTAAATACTGACAGAATTTTCATTTTTGGGTGAACTAACCCTTTAATGTTAGAGCAAGAAACCGTGCTGCGCAGTTTCATTCATCTAATAAACTGACCTGTGAGTATTAGCTAATTCAGCACTTGCATGTACTTCGGTAGAATATAACGTCCTTATTCTTTTAACTTATATCCGCGGGACTCGCGTTGCGTGTGGCGCTGGTATAGCCTAACGTTACGTCTAGCAATCGCACCCTGTTTTACACCACAGTCATAAAAAAAAACATCAATGTATTCACTCATCCATAAAAGATCTATTAGCTTGACGACAAAATCCATAATTCGGCGCCCTTTTTTGCGCCGACCCACCCAGGGAGTGCAAATTAATTCCCTAGTTTACCAACGTGCGTCTGTGGAGGGAAAAGTCCGCTTTACGCAGGTGCAAAATAGAAATGGTAAATGCGTCAGTGTACTAAGTCATTTGCGCTTGGTGCAAGATAGGGCCCCATATGTCATCAGCACCTTTCATCATGCTTTACAGACAAGATGTAAGCACAAGCTCTGCAACCGAACAGCAGTCACTATTTACAGTTCCTCCTCAACCAAAACAACAAGTTATGCTTCCTTCATGCCATTACTAGCCTACTGTAATTTGGAAGAGAAACCTGTGACGTTATACTCTGAACGGTTTTTTAACTGAACATTAAACTGCAGTCAGGTGCAGGTCAGAGGTTCTCTCGTATTGTGTAAGTTGCTTACGCTAGAGGTAAAGGTAAATATCCATTCATGACATTTGTGAGGCGGCAGGTCCGGCAGGCTGGGTCGTTAGTGATGGCAGTGTGACGCTGAAGCTTCGATACGTGCTTCGAAACCCTGAACTACAAACCTAGAGAACCACTGCTTCAAAGCTTGCTTTGGTGCGAAAAAAATCATGTGACATATGACGTCCGAAGCAGCAAGTGCTTCATTGCCTGAATGAATCATTTGACTGGTTTGCGGTCCAATCAGGTGATTCACTGGAACGGCGCGTCTCGCCAGCATCATCTGTTCCTTGTGAGCGAGTGTTTTCCAAGTCTGGAGAGGTTGTGAGCAAAAAAAGAAACCGACTCAGTCCAAAAACTGTTGAAAAAATAATGTACCTCAATAAAAATCTTTGAGTGTTCCCCATCCCAAAATTCACCCCCTGCCATTTACACAAGCACACCCAACCTATGCCATATTTTCCCAGCACTCTATAATAATAAATAATAATAATTCGTTACATTTATATAGCGCTTTTCTGGACACTCAAAGCGCTTCACATAGAAGGGGGGGATCTCCTCAACCACCACCAATGTGCAGCATCCACCTGGATGATGCGACGGCAGCCATATTGCGCCAGAACGCTCACCACACACCAGCTTACTGGTGGAGAGGAGACAGTGATGAAGCCAATTGGTGTATATGGGGATGATTAGGAGGCCATGATGGACAGAGGCTACTGGGCAAATTTGGCCAGGATGCCGGGGTTACACCCCTGCTCTTACGAAAGACATCCTGGGATTTTTTATGACCACAGAGAGTCAGGACCTCGGTTTAACGTCTCATCCGAAGGACGGTGCTCTTTTTGACAGCATAGTGTCCCCATCACTTTGCTGGGGCGTTAGGACCCACACAGACCACAGGGTGAGCACCCCCTGCTGGCCACACTAACACCTCTACCAGCAGCAACCTGGCTTTCTCAGAAGGTCTCCCATCCAGGTACTAACCAGGCTCAGCCCTGCTTAGCTTTAATGGGCAGCCAGTCTTGGGCTACAGGGTGATATGGCTGCTGGGTTGAAATGAAAATTCTGTCTCTCTCCTAAATAACAACTCTCTCCTAAATAACACAAAACATACATTTATCAATTTTTATTTGTAAATAGAACATTATGCTCAGCATTAGCGTGTGCATCAAAGAGTTTTCAAAGGAAATATAGTTAATAAAAATCCAAGGGTGATCTTAGCAAAGATGCTTCAGAACTAAAGTAGTTTCTCCAATACTGCTCACTGATTAATTTGACTGATTAAATGCAGCCTTGCTTTTCGCCAGGAGAGGTCGCTGCAACTGAAGCTTCGAGTAATGAACCCATTTTTGAACCAATTGGCTCAAGTGGTTCAGTGCTTCACAAAAGCTTCATTTGGCCATCACTATGGGTCGTCTTTTGGCCGTCTACTTTTGTTAGGTTTTATAATCTTGTAAGTTCCCGCCGTGACGATCACCAGTTGGAGTGCCCCAGAGAATCACCAGAGGGCACTCCACATCAGAACTGATCACTCCCACCAGAACTCCGTTTCCCATAATGCCTCATCCCTGTGATTGATTACACACACACCTGCACCTCATCAGACTCTCCATATGAAGAGTTCAGATGCAAAAGCCTCTAAGTGCCATTTGAAATGTTCTTCTAGAATGATCATTTTTATCAAGCTTGGATATTTAAGTTCAGTGATTTCACTTAAATGGCAATGATAATTACCTATTAATTGTTATTTAAGTGAAATTACTGAACTTAAATATACAAGTTTGATAAAAATCATCATTAAAGAAGAAAATTTCAAATGGCATTTAGAGGCTTTTGCATCTGAACTCTTCATATAAGCCACACTCAACCATGAACTCTTTGCGAAGTATTACATTGCCACTGCCTGTAATTCTGAGCGTGTGATCCTGTTTCTTGTTTCTCTGGTTTTGATCTTGGACTGTTTTCTCATCTGTACGATTGTTATCTGCCTGGCCTGAGTTGGATTGCCTTGGATTATTGTTTCTTGCTGCCTGCCCTGATCTTCTGCCTGTTACCTGACGACTCTCTGCGCTCAGTCTCTGATATCCCTGTTTTGCTGTTTCCTGACCCCTGCCTGTTTGACCATTCTAATAAAAGCTGCACATGGATCCTATCTCGTCTTCCGTCTTGTAACACCCGCCTTGCAGGCTAGACTTCTGTCAGCATGATTCTGGCTCTCCTGGTTGAGCAGCAATGTATGGTGAATATTTATATGGACCGACATGGCCGCTCTGTATACCGTAAATGTGCTTATAACGTGCTGGCCACCTGTTTCCTACTTATCCATGTTCCCTGGGAATCCCTGGGACTCACGAAGTAGATGCTGGGCGCGCACGGCGTTGACCGTGGGTTCCTGTAGTGTAAGCAACTTACGCAACACTTGTTCCCTCTAACTGAGTGCGTTTATTTATTTATTTTTATTAAAACATTTTTATATTCATTGTAATTGTAATGTTATGTGCTTTGAGACATGAGGAGGTAATTTAACCCCATCTCTTGTGACGCTTTTTTTTTTCATCCCTGCTGTGCGAGTTCATGTGTTTTGAAGGAGGCATGCCTTTGTAGAGCACTCTGAAGGTAGGGTGGGATATTTTGCTTTCAAAGCTAACTCGCTATTGCTAGCTGTAACATTTTTAAAGGTACATTATGTTCCTGCTAAATAGAATATAGGGTGAGGTTGTGCCCAGTTGAACATTTAGTGGGACAGATTTAATTAACAGGGCAAAAATACTTTTCAGTCACAAAAATACCAGTTTCCGTGCTATTTTAACAATAATTTTTCACGGCGTGTCTTTAGTAAATCTTGATAGTATTTTTTTAATGCCAAAAGATGGTTTGAACTGTGACAAGCTGTTAGTAAATCTGGCCCCTAGACACGACTTAACAGGAAAGCTATGCTTACCTGGTATTAAACTTTTCTGCAGAGGAGCTACAGTGAAACTGGTAGGATATTGGAGAGGAGAGTTGGCCGTGGCGATAATAATTTCTTCGTTTGTCTTCATCCTAAGAAAAACATAAGAAAATAGCACAACCGGTATATTATTAAAAAAAAAAAAAAGTTTATAAGTGGCTCCCAAAAATAATGATCAATAGAATGTTCTCCTTGCGCCCCTGCTCAGAGAAAATGTGATGATGCAAGTCGGACTTCTATAAGAGATGTACCGGAAAACAACAAAGATACGCAGTGAGTACATAACATTGTGGTGCTGTTTTACAGGATTTCGGGTGAGATGTAGAAAAAAAAAACAGTTCTACCTGAGTTGATGTTGATTGAACTCATGTGTTCTGCGCTCAATGATATCATCCAGTTTATCTTCTGGTGCAAATTGCTTGGCGAGTTCAGCTCCTTCACAAGTAACATTTGGCCTGCGCAAAGGTCCAAAGCTATGATGGTGTTCAGTTATGCTGTAAACATGACAAAAAGTCCCCAGGTTAGGTTGACCATCTTAACCAGATCTACTTAATATTAACTAGCAACATTTTATTGACAGTTTACCTTGAGACTGTGTCTTGTCCAAGACTGGCACTACTGAACAGAATAAAGTCAACAGATGTAGTTACTTTGTAAAATAGTTTCTTTGACTTAATCACATACATAATGTGGTTCAAAACTAGTGCAGGGAAATCACACGAGACAGGACAAAGACAAAAGGCAAGGGTGAAGGGTGCATATATAAAAGCCAACAGAAACAAGATGATTAATAAGATACAGCTGGGACAAATGAACTCATAATGACATTAAACATAGAAACAAAGGAGACAGACGAGTGGAATCAGAACAAGTGACAAATAAAAACAGACAGAAAGTCCATGAAAACAGAAACAAACAGAACATAATGCTGACAACTCCAGTCTTCTGTCACATTATGGTACAGAAATCACCAATTTGCTGCTCAAGAAATGTTTATTATTATCAATGTTGAAAACAGTTATGTAAAAAATAAATTTAGGATTAAATAGAAAGTACAATAGAATGGCATTTATCTGAAATAGAAAGGTTTTGTAACATTATACGCTACTGTGAGTTTGGGGATTTCTTTTTACAAAACTGTTTTCAAGATTGATAATAATAATGACTTTTTTACCCTTTTGGGTCCCACTTTATATGCACAAAGGTTAAAGAAACACCCTGTTACTAAAAACACCATTGTGGCTCTAAAATATGAAATCGGTGTAAATTATATTGAGAATTTTCAAAATAAGAATAAATCAATCACCTCATTAAGTCTGACATCACGGCTGCAGGTCCAAATGTTCTATGTCAGATGTCAAAAGCAAACAACAAATGGTGACACTCAAGGTATGCTGTAATACTACTGAAAAATCATGACCCTATAACTGTTATCTCCATACTGAAATATCAAATTGCTAGACAATGATTCATCTTTTACAAATCATTACATTATTGGTTTTTGGGACGCCATCATCCCGGAGATTAGAATGTACACTGAGTTTTTAAAACAATATCTTGAATGTGTGAGATGAATAAATAGTGGTTATAAACGGCTGTTGAGATAGTATTCTCATTTGAAATGAGTTGAGGCTTGGACTCGGAAACAGTGTTCATTATGTCACGATTTAAAGCGGAAGCAGAAACAGACTCAGAGAAAAAAAAAGGACTGTACTTACCTGGGATCTGATATGCTTTTCATGACTTTCAACAACACTAAGAAAATGATCAGTGTAACACCAATCAGGAAAAATTTACGTCGGATGGTGTGCATGCACGTCATGAGAGATGGTCTGTGAAAAGAACAGTGACACACAATTACACAAAACTTAAATTTAAACTATATTTTTATTACTGTAAAGCTGCTTTGAAACAATCTTCATTGTTAAAAGCGCTATATAAATGAGGATGACTTGACATCAGTTACACACATCTGACACAGGAACATCACAACACTTCAATGACAACTAAAAACATAAACTGAATGTGAGGCTGGAATGACATGCAAGTGAGTAAATGATTTACATTTTTGGGTGATCTAACTTAAGTTTGTGTTATAGCTAACTGGCTTTCAGATATTACGGTGTCGTGTAAACAGGACAGACGCACTTTTCTTAGCTGCGATGAAAGCCATTAGACAAATCATTCGACATAAGTACACACACATCTTTCCCATCAGTAAACAGTCACAACAATCATCAACATCTGACATAGGTCCACATGAATTAGCAAAATAATAACCACACATGAAACCCGACAAAAGTGGGATGTACTCACCGTGGATATCCGGGTTCTGAAACACATCAAGGGCGAGGTCCTCTCATTCTCACGCATGCGTTGTTGAGATGAACTACAAATAATAATAATAATAATAATAATAATAATATATATATAAAAACATCAAATGAAGAGTTCATATGCAAAAGCCTCTAAATGCCATTTGAAATTTTCTTCTTTAATGATGATTTTTATCAAACTTGTATATTTAAGTTCAGTAATTTCACTTAAATTGTTATTTAAGTGAAATTACTGAACATAAATATACAAGTTTGATAAAAATCATCATTAAAGAAGAAAATTTCAAATGGCATTTAGAGGCTTTTGCATCTGAACTCTTCAAATACTGCTTCTTCTTATGAGCATATCCGAGACATCCTTCTCAGTGTCCACCAAGACTCAACTCTGATGGAGTCGAGCACTTTACAGTGCACCACCAAGCTATAGGAATTACTGATAATGTGTAGGCTATCATATTACTTGCGCATTACGATTCACATTGAACACTAATGCATTTACAAAATGAAGGAGTGGAAAATCTGCAGAGAGTAATAAGGCCAAAGTGCAAACAGTTATGAGCAGAAGAACTCTAAGAGAAAAACTTTTATACAAAAAAACACTTCTTTATCTCTCTTCAAATGGCCACATCATATTCTAATTCAGAATGTTTCTCAGTTCATTTACAAAGCTTTCAAATCTTTTTTTTTTTTTTTTTACAAGATCCCCTTTCAAATCCCTTTATATCCTTTAATTTTATAATTAGGTTGTTATTACTATTATTATAATGTATTCGATAATAACCCCCCTCTCTAATCTGACACAGATTTGCGGGGACATACGCATTCGCTTAATCTACTAAGGAAAATAATTTGAAAGTCAGAATAAACCCAAATGTAACAATTTGAAGACATCTAGCATTACGGGCTGATCGGAACAAATTGGCCCGAGCCTCGTGGCATTTCTTTAATACTCAGACCGAGAAAGAAACTTCTTTCACGTGGAAACATGAGCTCACAATGTGAATTTACATTCAGAGTTTACACCTTTTGAGGGCAGGATTCCATTTGCCCGTAAGACACACCCAAGATATCTCGAAACTCTTAAAAAACGTATCTCCTTTTAGTTTACTTCTGTGGGAATCAGACCTTTGTACCAGTCACACTGAGACTTTTTAAATTATACCAAACGTCGTTGTATGATAATTGTTCCCATTAAACCATATAGAGTTTGGGGTGAATTTCAGGTGATCTCTGCATGAGAGAGAGACGAGATGATTGAAAGTGTGATGCTAGTTTCTCAAGAGAGAGTTTAAATGTTAATTGCCAAAAAGGCCCTTTGTCTTCTCAGGGAGTAGTCGTTTCTCAACCAGACTGCCCGGGATTTTCAAATTTCTCCAATCTTACAGTATACAGTAAAATACCAATAGTAATACTTGGCATCACCATTTCCACCATCGATTCTATAAACCCTGTACCCACATTGTGTCCAGTTGCTTTCATTACTTTACAACAGGCGTTTGACCTGGGGTGCGAATGATTTGAGTAACAATCATAATAACATCCACTTTCTCTGACCATGACTGTGGAGCTAAGGAAAAGAATGGAAAAGGTGGAGATAATTGGCCTCAAGCTTTTCAAGTCATAATCCACCCTGCTTCATTATGTAGTATTTTATTTGATGTCCATGAATCACATTTTACTGCTGACATAACATTTTACTGATACAGTAACAGTATGTGTAGATATAGATATACACTGAAGTGTAGCAGAGTGATATAGTGCTCAGTCGCTGGCATCTTATACAGATCCATTAGTAGAATTTCATCTATTATTTATTCAATTTAGGGGATGCAACTTATGGCCAACAATCATCTCAATTTTTCTGTGGTTTTCATAAAGCAGCATTATATCTTCATCATTATGAGATAAATTAAATCTCTCCTTGTGTTATTAGTATTATTATTATATGCCTGTGTGTAGCATACATGGGCAAAAATATTGAACAAAAATAAACAAAAGGTACATAAATTGCTGTAAAAATTAAACCAAAGCAGAATCTTAATAAAGCAAATCTGGCAAGCAAAACTAAATCTAAAATTCAAGTTAAATAACATAACCCCCCAAAGAAGAGACAGAAGTCTTAGACAGAAGAAGAGACAGAGACCTTCTCTCCTCAAAGGGAGAGAAGGTCAAATTAGGCTTTTGAAATTAGCCTTTTGCCCTTTGAGGAGAGAAGGTCAAAAGCCTTTCAGAACTTTATGTAATTCAGATAGTTATTAAAGAACGAGTCACTTTTCTCCTCACGTCAGCTTTCTTATGAGTCCTGTCCTGAAGGAGAAATATTTTCCCCGAAACCGATGTTTCTGGTGGCCAATGGAGAGGCCTTTACAGGAGGCAACCAACATCTGGCCAAGTCCATCCATGAAGAACTCTGAGGAAAGGCAAGAATGCAGAGGATTGAATTTTCATGAATTCAGTCCAACTGGTTCACATGAAACATTACAGTATATAAAAAGTTACTATTATCAATTTATGAGCACTGACACTGTCGGATGAGAACAACATTCGAACTGAATAATGGCACAAATACAACATTGACACATACCTATCTAAATTGAATAAACTTGAGCTGTATAAAAACACTACTGCCTTCTAGAGCTTCATAATTGTTATTTTTCTTTTTTAATCATGAAGATGCTTTGAAAGCTTTTGTATTGTTTAAAGCACTTGGCTATATATGAAGAGTTCAGATGCAAAAGCCTCTAAATGCCATTTGAAATTTTCTTCTAGAATGATCATTTTTATCAAACTTGTATATTTGAGTTCAGTAATTTCACTTAAATGGCAATGATAATTACCTATTAATTGTCATTTAAGTGAAATCACTGAACTTAAATATACAAGTTTGATGAAAATCATCAATAAAGAAGAAAATTTCAAATGGCATTTAGAGGCTTTTGCATCTGAACTCTTCATATACAAATCCGATTTCACTAGACTATTAGCCTACAGTAATAGACCAACATGAAATAAAATAATTTCAATAATGCTATAGTTTCCAAAAAAACAATGCTCAGCCTTAATCACTTAAATCAGTAAAAGTTGAATTTACAAACTTTACAAAATTTTAAGACATGGGGATATCAGTAAGCAAAACTATCCACACAGTCAGTGTCATGTCCTGTGAATGTCCTCACAACAGAAAAAAACAAAAATGCTTACTGGAACTGCCTCCATAATCTCTATAAAGCTCTCAATCCGGGTCTCATCCAAAAATACAAAGTCATCATCAACCCACAGGGAGTAGTTGGTGGTGGACTTGTAATACATCCAGATTCCTCCCTGCAAACCAGCTCTGAAAAAAAAAAAAATCAATCATCAGCAGCAGAAACAGTGGATAGTAATCAATAGTCGTATCAGTTAACAGCAGGGCATAAAATACCAAAAAAAAAAAAAACACTGTAAATGTAGACGATTGGTTAAAGAGCCCCTATTATGGATTTTTGAAAATGACTGTTCATATAGTGTGGTATATAGCGCTAAGGGAATGAAAACATCCTGCAAAGATTTATATCTGAGAGTGCACCATATATAAAGTTATTGTCTTTCAAAAGTGAGAGTCGACTCCGAGTCTATGAAATTAATTGTTATCTAAAAATTAATATGATTTTTTAATGATTTTAAATTAATTGTTGGATCGCTATAACTTGAATGACTGTCAACTGTTGAATGAATGAGTGTGAAGTATGTCAAGTCGCTTTGTTTACTTCGAACCGGAAGTCGCGCCCACTTTTGACGCAAGGCCTCATGGGGCATAGGAAACTTGTGGATAATCCTGGTTATGGGCGTTCCGTTGCCAACAGTCTCTAGGCTTGTTCGACTTCATGCAGCTCTGCGCAGACCGATCGGCGGCTGACTTGAAACAGTGCATGCCGGTTAGAAATTTTGTCCGACTTGATGCAGCGCTGACTCCACGTGACTGTGACATATGCCATCAAAGTACCGCGAGAGCGTTACGAGAGTAGCCGGAGGACTCAGCCAGCGCAGCTTCTGAAGAGCGGCTGCACGAGCTCTGATGATGTCACAGCTGTTCCACGATTCGCCGGATTCACCGCATGACAACGATCACGTGCGTTTCGTGTTTATTCTCACACGTTTAGTTCCACTAAAGCTCACAAATCAGTATTTTATAACAGTAAACACTCTTTTAATGTAGTCGCAATGTTATATTGTGTCATGTTTATCATGTTTATCAAAATAAAACTGATTAAAAAACGTTGATTCCACGTCATTGATTATAGGCTTATTTTGAACTTTATTCTAGTTCAAACAGATGCTGTATGAAGCAGTAAAGTATTGAATGAAAATGTGTCTGAAATATCTGAAATATCTGTTTATTTGGCAAATGTTGCATTTATTTCACTTCAGCTGTGGTATAAGCATGCAAACACCACGTGAGCCGTCACTACGGGAACCAGAAATTGTCCGACTTCACGTCTCCGTTTGCAGCTCCTCCCCGCCTGCACGCGGCTGTTCTCGCCGATCGGTTGCATCCAGCCGCAGGCGATGTCGAACACACCTTCTGCCTACGGTTTACCGATAACAACTGACTGGGTCATTTGACCAATCGCCGCAGATTCGCGTCACTCAAAGGAGGTGTTTGGGAAAATGAATCGTCGAACGAATCATTTGGGAGTCGTTGAGTAAATCAGTAAAAAATAAATGCATATTATAAGACAAATAAAGTGTTTTTTATCCTTGCATGCACGTTAAACTGTTTTTGGGAACTCCTAAAACAAAGATAGGAACATTTCAAATGCTATGATAGGGGCTTTTTAAATCGAGTTTTTTTTTTTGCAAATTCAAATCCAGATTTTGATTTTTGTGTTCGGTCTGAATACTCGATTCTGATTTTGCTGGAAGGTGCTCTCTCAAATCGTGTAATGCACAAGTAGCCTATAGTTCCAGTCAGCTAAATCGCGTTTCTGTGCCGTCTTCATTGAAGCGCACACACAGAGATTAGAGATTGCGCTCTGTACACACATAAACATTTAAGAGAACAGAAACGTCTTGCGACCTTTTACAAATAAAATAGCTTCACAACATTATATTTCTCGGCATCGAGGCAACCTCTCTGTTTTTGAAGAATTTAAACTCGCAGCATCACCCCAGGACTGTTCATTGAATGATGAAAACTATTTCGGTGTCCACACCAGCTGTTGATGTTGCTCCGTTTATAAGAGCGAGCTGTAAAGATTTGTCATCAGCCACTTTAAATACTCAAGCTCTTTAAAGCAGTATAAATTATGATTGGCTATATAAAATGTTTATCGGCTGGAAAAAATGGCTCCAAAAAAATGATTCCAAGTATGTTGTTCCTCTGTGCCACTATTGTTACAGTTGTTATGTGAACTCTACTGTTCTATTGTATTTAGAGCGATTTTTGGAACAATTTCTTTATCGTTATCATAATAGTTATCGTCCTTATTGTAAACGGGCCTTAAAGGTGCAGTATGTAAGAATTACCCAAGTACCTGGTCGAATTCAAAATACTGGAGATCATAGTTTGTTCCACCACCTGGACGCCGTTCACACGGGTTGCCAGTTTGAGCACACACAACAGAAACGAGCGTAATGAAAATGAAAATTGGCAATGTGCAGTAGCCTATCACTGACCAAAACAATAACAAACATTCCAGCCTGGAACCGCACATTTCTAAGTAATAAGGTAAAATAATGCCTAAAAGAACAGCATGCACAGGGTAAGGTTTGTGAAAGAGGACATAAGATTGCAAGCGTAAAATAAATTTGCATGCGTAAAGGTGTAAATAAATAAGATCTGTATTCTTCAGACTTTCATTTTTCCACGCTTATACTTTTGGCACGGTTTTTGCGCACAAATGTAGCCAAAAGTATTGCAGGCCAGTGAACAGCAATCTGCAAGCAAAAACAACAGAGGCAGGAACTGCAAAACAGATGAATTGCATAAAATCAAACTTTGTGTAAAAAATAAACTGTTGTAAAATGACTTGTTGTGTGCATTGGGTAAATAACCTGATGTGTACAGTTGCATCTTTTACCTGTGCTTCCAGTTTTGGCAGGATTGTCTCCCTCACTGAGTTTTGCAAGCGCGAAGAGGAGGGCGGGTCCACCTTCATCATGTAGCCAATCAAATGAGCTTCTCTCTGACACTCGCTTTACTGTTATCTGATTGGTTCAATAAACACGCCCGTCACTAGTACACATCTTCATCTTTATTTGGCTCAGAAATTTTCTCATTGCCGAAATGGTACTTATAATGCACACACATACATGTTAAATTAACAAATAAATGAACAAATAACTAAATAAATAAATCATGATTGCTTAATAGGCTGACTTAGAACAGATGTAGACATCCTTGTTTAATTTATTCACGTTTAGTTGGTGTTGTGGTCTACATATATCTCGGTTGAGATGTGGCTTGGGAAAGGGTAAAAAAAAAATACACAGTGTCGCCCAGCCTCTCGGTACCTAGTGTTAGACTTGCATGTACCCCATGCACACCGTTTGACCATTTTAAACTTAAAATGACAAGAAAAATTAATGAAAACTGACTAACTGCAATGCATTTCAATGGACGTGGGAGCAGAGAATGAGTGTATTGGGTTAGCTGCGCACTGTGATTGGCTCATCACGTTTGAAGGCGTGGCTTAGCCCAGTTCACAAACATCCCAGTTCTTGCATGGCCAGAATACTCACCAGACATATCACCCATTGAGCATGTTTGGGAGTTGGGATGCTCTGGATTGGTGTATATGAGCGTATGTTCCAGGTCCTGCCAATATCCAGCAATTTCTCACAGCCATTGGAGAGTCGACTTGATCAACACTACGCGAAGGAGATGTTTTGCATTGTGTGAAAAATTATTGGCCAGATATTGTGGTTTGCGGTAGGTGGTATGCCATACGGAACCGTTTGGCACTGAAACTGCTTTATAACGCACCAGTGGGGCTCGACAGCCATTATCAAAGGGGTTGGCGCGTATGGTTGGGTTGCGTGTGATTGTGGTTAGGTCTCTGTAGGGGTCAGTAAGCAGGGCTGAGTTGAGTGGGGGACTGAGGGGGGGTGACTCTAGGACGCCAGGGTCACTGTCGAGTCCTCTTGAGGTGTCGTGGGCTAGTCGACAAAACTCAGGTAATTTCCATACCTGAATTAGCCATGGTAGGTTTTTCAGTTTGCTATACAACCATTAACCATGCACATAATTAAAAATTAATACATTTACGCTCAGGAAAAAAACACGCCAAAATTTTTTTTTTTTTTTTGAAGGGTAAAACTTAAATCTAAAGGACAATTATTATTACATTTTATATGAAAAGAAACACTCCAATGAAAAATACAGTTCCAGCTGCTTCAGTGCTTGGAGCCCTATATAAAAGACTTTTATAAAAGACTCCAAATTATTGCCCACACATTATTGCATCACATTTTTGCACACTTTGTAAACATTTTGCAAATTTCTTAGATGAAGTAAAACCATTATTGCACATATATCATATTTATACTACTGCACTCTCAGAAAATGTACAAAATTGTACTCTAAAACATTTACTGTTTACCTTGGACTTGAGGTATGTATTGCTACTCTGATATGCAACTTTTCAGGGGTAAAAAATTTTTACGACCCGCAAACAACTGTGTAAGTACAAATTACGGTGTACATTTCTGTAATTATAGTGTACTTCCGTGCAAGTATAAGGAAACAATATGTTAAGTTTTGGGTAATAAAGGGGTATCAAGCACCACTTTAATTTACAGCCCGCAGGAGTTACACTTACCCTGTAACTACGCAGAACAAGGGGGTAACAAACGATTCTTACTATGTAGCAATACGAAACAACACGCGCTGTAATAATTACAGAGAAAGGTACTGTTACCTAAAAAAAAAAAAACTAAAAAAAAAACTTTTAATTAGGCTACACATTATATTTGCCATGACATTTAAGTGGCATTGCAATTCAATGGGATAAGGTACTAATTACCACATGGTAAGGTCTAAATTAAAATTATAGCAAAAACAAATTATTTTGACTTAACATTAAGTAATCTAGTAAGAAATGCCAATAAATTTAATTTTTATCATAGTATATATATATATATATATATATACAGTATATATGTGTGTGTGTGTGTGCGTTTAATTTTTAACCCACAGATGTCAAAATTACCCTGTAATATTGCACATGAACATGTTTTGCCAGAAATGTGATATGTTTTATAAACAACAGACGTACAATTTTTGCCTGGATTATTAACAGAATAGGTACCTGTTATTTTTTAACTAATTAAATAATTTGCTTGTATATCTGCTTGTTACCCCCTTATTACCCCAAACTTAACATATTGTTCCCTTATAACTACACGAAAGTATACTAAAATTACAGAAACGTACACCGTAATTTCAGTGTACTTGCACAGTTATTTGCAGGTTGTATATCTGTTTGTCACCCCTTTATTACCCCAAACTTAACATATTGTTCCCTTATACCTACACGGAAGTACATTATAATTACAGAAACGTACACCGTAATTTCAGTGTACTTATACAGTTGTTTGCGGGTCGTAAAATAAAGTGTTACCAAAAAAAAAAGTATTTTCAAGGGAACTACCTGTGACATAAACCTCTAAACAAAAAAAAAAAAACAGTCCAAGTGTCCATATTTAATGAGGGGCATTTATTTTATTGCACAACAGTAACCCACAGTAATAAATGATAAAAGATATAAATTGAAAATATTTATTTGTTCTCTTAAATCAGTTCTCCTCCTGAAGACAAAAACTTGGCTTAATTTTTGTTGATGGTTGATTCCTCTGATTGAATGGCTGATTGTATTAAAATGTCACACAATTTCACTACTCTTTTCTGTACCAAAACACTTCCTATGTGAACATTCCTCATATCCATTCATTCAATCACTTCGACAATAAGTAAAATGATGTTCGCTCTCTGTGGGTGAATGATCACCTTTCTCCTCAAAAGTCCCTCAGTACTTCATGCATTTCAAATAATTCCTGAAGTACATATGGGCCAATTTGTTTTTTCCATCACTTCGTCCTGGAAACCTAAATTTTCTGTATTTGCCTTGTTTACGTTTCTTCTGGTGGCCGACTACAAGTCCTTTGCAAGAGGCAATCAACAAATCTCCGAGACCATCAACAAAAAACTCTGTGGGGGTTTATGTCAGAGAGACAGCAGAAAATGAGCATTCATAAAAAGACACTTAAGAAGTTTAAAGGGATAGTTCTCCCAAAAATGAAAATTATCCCAGAATTTACTCACCCACAAGCCATACTAGGTGTATATGACTTTTCTTTCAGCCAAACAAAAGTATATAATAGCTCTAAGCTTTATAATGGGTGAATATAGTGAATAGAGTTTTTGATTGAATGTTTTGATCCATTCATCATAAATCTAATCCAAATGACTCCAGGGGGTTAATAAAGACCTTCTGAAGCGAATTGTTTTTGTAAGAAAAATATCAATAGTTATAAATCACATGCTTCCGGTAAAAGACGTACACGATTCTAGTTCCGGCGGAAGTGACCTCGGACCCTGCGCATGACGTAGGACTCATGGTTCAAATTAATAGGTATGGGCAACAACCTCAAGCTCAACCTCAAAAAAAAAAAAAAAAAAAAAATTGCGTTTTAGACTTCTAATTTGTGACTGGTGTTTTGTTCTGTACTCTGCGCTTCTGCATTTGTCAATACGTTGGGTCAATTTGTCAGGTCAGAGGTCACTCTTCCGCCGGAACTAGAATCTCATACGTCCATTACCGGAAGCATGTGATTATATTTAGGAACTTTATTTAAACTGCAGTTTAAATACAATTAATATAACTCCTATTGTGTTTGCCCGAAAGAAGAAAGTCATATACACCATTTTTGGGTGAACAAAATATATACTGAATTTCAACCATCTATATTTTACCAAGACCAATAAACTGCAATGCAGGAAGACAAGAAGGAGCTGATCATCCTTGCAGTGTCAAAAACACATGTGACCATGTGCCACCCCCCCTTTTGATATTGATCCATATACCGTATTGTTCCAAATATAAGACAAACCTGAATATAAAACGCATCATTCTTAGGCCGCGTCAAAATGGCCGCTTCAAAGACATTGACAGGCAAGTATATCAGTACGGAGCCGATAAAGAAATGAGGTCCTCGCTGGTGGATAAGTTCAGCTCTTTGGCGATATCCAGTGCCTTCAGCTGGATGACGGCTCGGTTTATAGGCAGCCCCTCATTTCTTTTTTCGGCTATGTACTGACACACTTGCCACTTTTAGGACCGCAGTAAGCTTTACTTTAACTGTTAGCATTTAAGACTCGTCTTTTAGGGTTTGCCATCTTATAGCATTCTGACACACTGTATTTCTTGGCTGCTTAATGAGAGTTGTTTAATGACTCCGCTGTGTTTATCACCATGCTCTGTTCTGGACGGCCATTCGCCATCATTTGGCACCGTAAACTGAGGGTAGTTTACAGGGGTGGGCAGCTTCAGTCCTGAGGGGTACACTGATTTTACACGCATTTAGCTATTGTTGCGGGTGTTTTATTGATTTCTAAAAGTCTAAAACATGAATACAAGACAACCCCATTTTTTCAGATGTATTTCCAAGAAACGGAATTATATTTGGAACAACACTGCATATATTGGAAACCTCTAGTAAGGTAATAATCTGAAATGAGCATCATGTATTTTAATCTGAAAACCGAGATGTACCCACCAGTATGACCCACCCTCTTCAGAAACGGATCAAAGCCAACCCGTCGCACCGCATCTGTCCGTGCCAGGAAGTAGTTAACGACCCCATCTACAAAGAAGCAGCTTTTAAAGCCTGGGACTGATTGATGGCTCTTCCCATGAAAACATCTGAGACAACCGCCCTCCTCTTCATCCCCTTCCTCGTACTGAAAGCGGAAATGGAACAGATTTTTTTCCACTGCACCACCAACCTGGAAAGAGAGTGAGGGAATACCTGTTCCTGAAATGAGCCAGTATCATTACTGCATTATATTGAACAGTTTGATAGCTAGAGAATAGATCATCTTTCCTGCATCCAGTCAGAATAAACACTAACACGCAGTTAGGGAGCGGAGATCATATCCATATCGGATATCTGGGAAAGAACTATTGGTCTCATTCACGATTGATTTGGAGAATTATTCAGGTTTACTCACAGGAAAACTTCACTTGAAAAACTTCCACATAATTCACAACATGTATCCATACACACAAAATTCTTCTTAACCTTGTGGCGGTCTTAATAAATTTGGAGTATTCTAAATGAGTGACAACATGCCTCAGTTAGTAAATTGGATAAAACACTGCATATAGAAATGGTTTGCAAACATACAATGAGATACACCAACCCGATCTCATGACCAAATCGTACGAATTCAACGAATGATTAAAAAGTGGCTAATTCGTAACAATTCATGCGACCTCACTTGTACAAATTAGTACGATTTCGCTAAATCGTAGATATTTTACGAATTGGCCAATTCGTATGAATTCGTACGAATGACCTACCCCTTACCCCGCCCCTAAACCTACCCATCACGTGGGTTTAGACAAATCGTACGAATTCGTAAGAGTAAGGTTGTACGGATTAGTACGAATTAGACACTTTTTAATCATTCGAATTCGTACGAATTGGTCGTGAGATAGCGTAGGATACACACACAGAGAAATACACTTCAGAATATCTATGTATAAAATGTAATCCTAATACGTTTATAAAAGCCAAGTTGTTCCTACATTTTGCGTAAATTGATTTTAGTAAAACTTTTGTACACAGATATCACAAATTATAATAATAATTCTCTTTACTGACCACATCCAGTTCTGGAACTTTCTCCATTATCTCCACGAATCTTTCAATCCGTGTATTGTTATTGAATATGTAGTCATCATCAACCCACAGGAAGTATTTAGTGGTGACTTGAGAAACAGCCAGATTTCTTCCCGCAAACCAGCCCTAAGTAAACAGAAAAAGAGAAATGATGGGTTTATCTCAGTTGGCAGCCACAAAAAGCAATTTTATATTGTGTTTTAGATCATCCTCAGTCATTTTGCAGTAAAAGTGTAATATAGGCATTTTCACAGGGTCGAATGGTTCTAAGAACGGCAAAGGCTGGTTCCAGTTATATTTCAACTTGAACTTTGTTCGGCACAGTACTTAAAGGTTCTATATGTATGTAGAAAGTGCTCCCCTTTGGCACATGGACTCTCCCAGTCACCCCTGTCATTCAGTGAGAAATGGACTATTCCAAAACTTTCCACCGGAGTTCGCGAAGTGACGGTGAAGAGAGTAGACGCGGTTAATGAAGGGAAAAGTAGATCGGCTGAATAAGTGTATATAGTTTTAGAGTGAGATACAGAGTATTAGCCAAATCGGAGGAGTTTTATTGATCGTGCGTGTGCGTGCATCACACTGTAAGTAATCAGATAATTGTTGAAAATTCTCAGTAATCGCTAATTTGCCTGTAGCTGTGTTTACATCTGTGGTTAAAGTTGTTTACTTAGTTATAATTTACTGCTGGGACATTATTAGCATCCATGTATATTGATGTCATTCATATAATAGTTATATTGATTCCTTTATCTCGAATGCATGATTCTATCTCAGGTCGCGCACATATGCGCTCTGTTGTTACATCTCAGCTCTAGTTGCAATGCTCGCATGCACAGCTCGTGCACAGCATTAGCGCACAAACATCTGTTCCCACTCTTTTAAGTATATTATCCTAGAGATTGTATTGTTATTTCACCGCTATTCGTCAGTATTTTACCAGATAAGTTCATTTCTATTGTTTGTGTTTTATATACATTTGTGTTCACAGAACCACACATCTATGCACATTTAATAAAACAACGATTTGGAATATATCCTGAGTGAGACATCATTGTTCTGACCGGACAAACTGTAGCCTTCAGCCAAACCTGAACTAGCAATTAGAGTGAATAGTCACAAGATTTTTCAATGTAACTATTTTTATAAAATGAATCCTTTTTTTATTGCCTGTGTTTGAAGGGGTTGTAATCACACATTGCAACGATCCACTTTTCGGGTTTTGCCATTACCTCTGAAGGCCAATATTCTTATTTGTATGCGAGGTCTCCGGGTCGGATTTCCTGCGAAATCCATCAGAAGTGACGTGCATGCGCGCTCCCGAGTCCCGAGCCTCTCTATCCTACAGTCTATCATGCGAACAACGGCACTTCAGCTGACGACATGGAGTCTAACCCCCCAAAACGTCCTGCCTCCAGCACAACACAGACTCCAACACAAACTCCACATATATATATATATATATAAAAAAGAAGTTATCTGCTCAAGCTCGTCAGGCAAAACATGAATCTGATCGACTCCGGATGAAAACGCGGATCAACATAGTAAACTCAAGTGAAATAACAAGGTACAACATTACATGAATACAAACTAATGTTAGTATAACATTTAGTATGTAACTTATTTTATTTACTAGATCTAACGTACTGACTAATGTCGTCATCCCACTACCATATTGTTTATACACATTTCCAGACGCGTTCAGTACAGTAATGTTACTTCACTACAATCTTACTGAAACTGTTCAGTTTAGTTCACTAACCGTTTTCATTATCATATTATACATTCACCTATGTTGACATTGCTGATTGTGAAAGATACACGAATAGTTAGAGAAATGGCTTATGCTATATAACATCAGATGTCGGCTAAATGCAGTTTATTGTAACATTATCATGATACAGAGCATTACTTCAACGTCAAGCTGATAAAAGTAGGCTATTATTGTACCTGCAGTGGGAGTTTACATTAGTTTCCAGCATGTGTGATAATTTCGCGTTGCGTTGAAAGTCTCCGTGTGGCTGGTAGTGAATGATTGCTCGCTCTTGAGATTGAGCACGAGCACGAGCGCTCTTGTTGCATTCTGAAACATCACCGCTAGAGGTCACTAAACGTCGCATACAGCACCTTTAAACGGTAGTAATTAAACAGCTGGCTGACCGTGGCCATTCATGATTGGTCACTTGTCTGTTGCCTGGCTACCAGTTTCTAGCTGGCCAAGCACATTATTTGAGTGTGATCAACACAAATTAATAATAAAATTAAAGAAATTTGGCCCAATGGTGGAAAAGCAGCCATTGGCTACTCCAGTTGACATGTTTTCCGTCGCCATTTTTCCCCTCAAACACTGAAACAACCGTTTATATAACGTACACATTACGCGTTTCCGTAGCTAATCAAATCACATAAATATGAGGGACACGATTGGCTGTCGTTTGCTAAGCATCTAGCCCATATCATTCCCCGCAATGCGGAGTTAACAGCACTGAGTTGACATTAAAACTGGGGTTTAGTATGACGATAACATGGAGTTGAGCACTGCATGAAAAGCCCTTATATGCCACTGTGGCCTTAAAGTATTTACCTGTGCAGGAGGCATGATGTAGTGCTCTACATTGCTGCCAGTCACCTTTTCTGGTGTCAGACTGTCATCTGCAACAATGATCTTGATTTTGGGGTAAAGCTGTCGGATACTGTTGATGAGGACGTTCAGCTCTTCATATCTCAGAAAGGTCTTTGTTGTTATGGTTACCTGTGAGTTAATATCTAAAGTTGAGAAAGAAAGGGGAGGGTCATTAGACCTAATCTCGATTTGTGTGCGTTTATTTATTTTTTGTGGTCTTACCTGTCCCTGGGTCGTACAAAACAGGAACTGAGGGTCTCTTGATCACAATGGAAAATATGGCCTCATAGTCCTCAAAAGAAAAATGAACTAAGGAAACAAGGAAACATGGACTTGGATATGTTATTTTAAAAAACGGTAAGTTTAAAATGTAAATTAAAAGTAAATTAGGCTAGAGAGCTCAATAGATGCATATTATAGCTCACACCGATTTTCTGAACTTAATGGACAGCAGACATTACCCAGATCTTTAGTCTTGACACGGTAGATAGTGCTGGTGTAAGTCACTCTGGAAAGCAGATCATTGAGTTGTGTGAGGCTGCTAGATGAGATGCTCAGTTCACTCTGACCCTGTCCATCCACCTGCTGTCCATCCAGAACATCCTCTACTGAGAGCACTCCGCTCTTCACACTCAAAGACACCTGTCACACAAAAGCGGTATTAATGGACCTTCAGTGTAATATTCATCAATTACTGGACACTTCTCCTGCAAAGAAAGTAACCAGCCGTCTTGAGTTTGCATTTCAAAAATTGAGAACTCAGACCTTTACTGCGAACATAAAATCAGAGAACCCCAAAGGACCTCACAAAAATTCCAAAACAAACCTTATATAGTTTTCTTCTTTGTGCATGCAGAGCCAAACCTGTGAAAATGGGCAGTTTGACAATTCATGTTACATGAATAAATAAGGATGACTACAATTCTAAAATGATTTGAAAGTGCATTCTTACCCGTTCATTACATCTCATGTTCTAATTCAGTTTGAAGATACAGTAAATTACTCATTTTAAAAGAATGTCTGCATGTTGTTGCACATGACGTTTAGCATCTAACATCCCAAAACAGACCAAGTGTCTTAAAGTAAAATATCTCAGGTCTGAAACATGTATTAAATGAAGGAAAGAGTTTTACCTGGTATCACTCTTTTTGTAAGAGGTGGCACTTCGAAACCCTGGGTGGGATATTGGAGGGGCGAGTTAGCTTGGGCAAGTATAAGTGAGTCCATCTTTGTCCCCATTCTAAGAAAAACAGAATTAGAAATTTTAGAATTAAGACAAACCAAAACTGATTAAGGGGCAGGAACTGGAATTGCACTTTTGACCTGAGCTGGTATTTCTGGTATTCCTCCGTTCGACGTCTCTGAAGATCTTTCAGTTCACCCACTTGCACATTCTGCGCAAGTACACCAAATCCATTACAGGAACAAGAGGAGCGATTTTTACTGGGAAATGACCCAATGCTGAGGTTATATTTGAAAAAATTATAGGGCAATAATAAGGAAACATTTCACAGATAAGAATAATACACATAGACTATGGTATTCTGAATAAATAACCAACCACTGACCTTTGTTTAGGAAAGACTTGAAGGTACCTTTTGCTAAAAAGACAAAAAGGTTAACCATGAAAGTTTTTCCAATGCCAGAAGAGGAAAAACAACTAAATTGAAAACTGACAAAGAAATGACAAGAGACACCGTAGTAGGGTCATACCCTAATGGAAACAGTCTGTTTGTGACATCTGTAACATCCAGAAATCCTTGTTGTACACTGTAAATACTCAATGCAGTAATACTGAGCCCAATCAGAAATAACTTCCAGAGAATGTTCATTTCTGGAGATTACCTGAAAGGAAGATGTGTTAACACAGGCAGTGAAATGGAATACTTTTAAAATGTAATATAAATAAAACTGAAAACAGAACAAAATAGTGAAGAACATATTTGCAACTTGTTTTTTAATGACAGATAGCCTACCTTGCACATTCAAGTTTAAAATGGCCACGCCTTCTCTTACATTAATTTGGAAATATTAACCCTTTCATGCATGAAAGAGAGTGGTCGCAAACGCAAGAGGTGCAGATAAATGGAATGTATTCAGTGACTGAATTTCAGTCACAATAGAATTTAGGCAGTCTGTCATTGTGAGGGAAAAAAACAAAACAAAAAACAATAACGAAGCCGTTTTCATCATATTAGGCATGTGTATGCTGTATTCGTGCAATAAAGTTCAGCTTGAGGAGGGGAAGAGAACCTGTGAGAAAAAGAAAGAGCGATAGAGGAGAGAGCGGGTATAATCCCTCTTTTGTAGCCTAGTAGCCTAATATACATGCTAATAAGCAACTTCTTAATAGTGGACCCTAAACTAAAGTGTTAAAAATCATGCCCCCTTAAAAAGAAAGTCAGAATCGCCCCTGCTGGACAGAAACTGTGAGAGAGACACGACTCGACTGATATAGACTCACATGAATCAGAGTGTTGTCTAATAACTCCACAAACGTAATGGGGCAAGCAATAATCGGTCAAAAAACAAAACCAAAACCAGGACTAAATATGAATAGCAAGAAAGATGAGAACAAAGGAGAAGCAGGTGCGATCTCAATCATCGTGCGCTCTGATTGCGATTGCGAACAGGTGGACTGGGTGCAGGAAAACAAACCTAACTCAAGACAAACACACACAAATATAATAGGCATATACGGCTTAAATTGTTGCAAGCTCAACCGAGTTAGTTCCCATTCAACCAGTTCCCATTTAACTTCGCATGTCTTTGTTATAGTGTGATTTCATCAAAGATCTACAACTGGTTGCTTACAACTCTGTAAACCTTTAACGTTATCAAATACAGTCGATGGCGGAAACACCAACACAGTCTCATGAAGATGCGTATCTATACCACGAGTGTCATTTCTCGTGGCATTTATACGCCAAAAGTGTTTTTTTCGTGTATATGGTACGCACTAACGTGCGTATTATACGCAAAAAAGTGCGTATCATATGTACGCGAAAATCGAAATACATTAAATCTTTCATGAGATCGGGCTGGAAACACATATTAGATGATAACCCTTATTAGATGATAATTCTGATTAAGTTAAAAATTTCTGATTAAGACCGGATTACAAGTAGCACAAATATCATAGCCGCCTGATCAGATAACTTTTTGATGAAACGATCAAAGTAACACATTAAGGGTAACATGCATTTCGTAGGCTATTCAGATTACTTTACATATGTAACGAGTGAAGTAGGCTAATAATGCAATACAAGTATACATTATATGTTGCCTAATCGCATTACTTTTTTGATAACAGACAAAAAGTTACTGCAGATGAAGTAGCCTATTAACAGTCATAATTTCAGAAATAGTAATTGCAGCTGAAATATATCTAGTGATTCATGACGTTAATTTAGTGTAGCCTATTTAAGGCCGGAGACACACTGGCTGCGTGAGGTGTCCGTTTTTATTTCGGCTCCCATTAGCACACTGCCTGCATGACACGCGCGTCTCGAGGCGTGAGCCTAGCGAAAACGCGTGCATGAAATAGAACCGACGCCTATTTTTCACGACACGCAAGCGTTTTGGAAGCGTTTCCAGGCAAAAACAATATTTTGTACACGAATAAATATTTAAAAAAAATACATTTTGATGTTTGAAAGTCTAGGTTGACAATTTCCTTTATCAATGCAATTTAAACAAATAATAATATTATCGATTTTCAAATATTGCCATTATTTTTGCCTACATATAATTTTATGTAATTTTTCTTTAGCTAAACAATCGAGTCCTACAGAGGTCATAGAATAACATATGAATAAAATAGCCTACTCACCTTAAATCCACACGAAAAAATATTTCCTTTCGAATCCGGGTCATAGACTTCAATATAAAAAAAGAGTTTGTCTAACAAGTACTGAACTGTTTTACAACAAGCCTATACTGGTTGAATTCTTCACCTCTATTAATAGAAAATAAGCTCAGTTCTTCAGCGTTTCGCGGGGTCTTTTGAAAACGTGCAAATGAAAATGTAATGTTTAGGCTACGTTAGCTACTACTGCTAGGCTACTTGTCAAAATAAATTAATTGCTAGTTCTATCATAACGAAACGAACTGAACCAGTGCAAAGGGTGAAAATGTGTTTTCTTTCATGTGAATAAGGGCAGCAGTTACGTATACTCTAAAATTAATCATTTAATGCACATTTAAATCCTATTTCCATATTTTCTACTACAAAATTAGCACGTTTTCAAAGGCTACAAATAAAATTTAAGTAGCGTGTTGGCTACATTAAATAGCTAGGCTACAAATAATAAAGTAGGCTAAATTAATTCGTTTTATCATCTCAAATTACAGCATTAAATCCATACATTTTTACAGACATGCTCTTAAATATGAAACATTGCCTATATAACAACATGCATGCAAAGTGTTTAATCATAATCATGTTGTATTACCAACGGTCCTACTTCCTGGTTCATCTACTCAAGCTGGTGCCAATTAAGACGAATTTGGTGGCGCGCCTTAAGTCTAAATAAAGTTCTGGTCGAGGAAAAAAAAAAACGGCATTTGTAAATGGGGTGGGCATGTGTGCCTCACACAACAAATGACTAGCAAAACTGTAATTTTGTAAAATTGTAAAAGAAAAATATTATTTACCAGCTCTAAATAATGTAGGCTACATTAAACAGAATACATTCTTCATCCTAATTTCCTGTCACTTTGTAAATTGTCTTTTCCATTTTCTCTGGTGAGTCAATCAAACTTAACCAAAATGTTGTTTGAGATGATTAAAGACAAAGAACCAGAATCAATTTTCATTAAAATGACTGAAAATCCACAGCAGAAATTCAGGTTTAACCTACCACCACTGCTTCACCCTTGTAACTCTTGCTTTTTTAAAACTTGACCACAATGTTTTATTCTCCGTAATTCAATGTATTTTACCAGTAGCCTATATGAACCTTTATGTCATAGCTGTAAATCAAAATATTAATCTCTGTAAATTAAAATATTTCTTGCATTTATGAAAAGGCTCAGCCCCCAAGGCTCTTGACCTAAGGCTAAGCCACGCCCTCAAACGCGATGAGCCAATCACAGTGCGCAGCTAACCCAATACACTCGGACATTCTCTGCTTCCACGTCCATTGAAATGCATTGCAATTAGTCAGTTTTCATTCGTTTTTAGAGTCAGTGTTAACACAATGAAACATGCCAAAGTGTACAGACATCATTTTTAGCCAGGCTGTCATACAAAGAAAATGATACACAAAGAATACGCATGAAGTAAGGACAGTGAAATATTAGTATATGTTGCACAGTCAATGTATGATTTTTTTTTCTCCCCGAGAGCCTTTATAGTTTTTCTATAACCTTTTGCTGTAGTTTGCCTTTTTTGTTGGTACTTATAAAACAATATTATTGATCTGCTTGCATCGACACCATTGTCTGAGAACTGAACTGAGCTGGACGATGACATTTCTGGTTTTCTCAAGAGCGGCAAAGAGCGCTAGCTATATAAATAAAGGAGAAATACCTTCACAAAATGTAGTGTTAGTTCTTCCATCATATTTTAAAAATATAATATATATATATATATATATATATATATATATATATATATATATATATATATATATATATATATAAATATCAAAATATTTTCCTCATAATTTGATGGTTTAAGCAAACTTGAAGTTTGAAAAAAAAAAATAAACTCACATATCACTTTTGGCAACTACTGTCTGCAGCCTACGTTTGGTCAGTCAGTGCCACATGGCCTTGCTTACTGCACTGATGAGTCGAAGTCATCACCTGTGCACTGCAGCATTTTTCCAGTCAGCAAAAATGAAATTATTAATTATAAATGTTAGAGCATTTATTTGTAGAGTTGAAGAGGCTATTCGATTTCTTAAAGATGCGTTACACAAACAATACCTTGACTGATCAAACTTTTATCGTTTGATCAACTTCATCATCATTTAACTCCAATACATTATATTTTCGTTGAAAAGTGCGTTGCCGCCTCCTCTCTGCTGTCATCTTGTTACCACTAGGTTAGGATATCTCTCCAGCACTCTTAAATAATTTAGGAGCGAGTCTTAACACTTAGGCTACATTTATGAATCACACTTATATTTAAGTTTAGGAATAAGAGTAAAATTATGTCGTTTGGATTCAAGATGAGTGGCGTGCTCAATTCCTTTTAAAAAAGTTCAACCTGGGTGCTCTTCGGTCCAAGGTAGGACATCAAGGAAACAGTAGAGAAAAAAATCTCTGATGACCGAGGCACTCCTTAAAATGTCTTTATTATACAAATGACATGTCCTAAACGGACAAATTTAAAAAGCCCACGCGTAGCGGCATGAAGCCTTCATCAGGGCATGAATTATGTATAAAATTATGTCATTCTTGGAATTTTAACACACTTGAGACTAAAATTTTACTCCGAGTGGCTTTATACATGGCCCCAGATTTTTATACTTTTCATTTGTTTTTCTTTTATTAAGAACTATTCATAGAAATATTCTTCTTTGGCAGTTGTTCTTAACCTGGAGGACATGGTTATCAAGATTGAGATCCTGTTGCATCTGGTATTGCTACAAAACACTTTAAAGAAAGTGATGGGGGCCAGGAGTAGATGATCAGTTTCAAAACTCCTTTTGTGTTCAAGAAATGATGTCTTGTGGGTATGGGATGACATTCGATTTGTTCCTTTAAGCTACTCAACCAATACTCCAAGAAAACGTGAAGATTTGTCATATGTGAAGATGCAGTGACTTCGCAGGGCATGGGATGAGTATGGTCTTATGACCCTGGGGGTTGCTGAAGGGGTTTCACTTCTGTTGCAGTGTGAGAGGAGAAAGAGTCAGGAAGGCACTTGGCGTACCCCACCAGCTCGTAAGACTCACGGATGTCTGTAAGGCCAAGCCAGAATACAATCCAGTGACCATTTACAAAACTGCCATCACAGTGCTTGAAATACCTGAGGATTTGAAAGCAGAATCACAGATGAATGATGGATGGATGGATAGGCAAAAAATGGGAATCACAACAATGCAATGCTGAGGATGGGACACACCAGGGATTGATGGGGTTAGTGGCGCGGGATCTCCAGAAGAGCTTGCCCAAATCCTGACGAATACACTCCCACAAGATCTGGCCAGTTCCTTGACCTTGTTTACTGCTGCTGACCACAAATTTGTCCAGGTACGGAGTGCCGTTGTTCACAGGCTCTGTGGTGATTATAGCAGCCGCACTGTACCTACAATAACATGCATACAGGCACAGATTCAGTAAGCTTATATTCTAATCTAGAAGCTTAAAACTATGAGCATGATTTACCACAAGGGTGAAATGTCATTTAAAAATGTAATGTAAAGAAGTGAAGAGGGGTTAGGTACGTCAACTCTTTCCCTGCCATTGATTTAATTTTCAGACAATCTGTTATACGGTAGGGGGCGCTGTTAGGCATCTTCTGAAAGAGTACAGAATCTCCAGATCAAAACACAGCCGAAGTAGTATCAGAAGTATTGCTTATGCACAAAATAACGTGATCATCAAAAATTATTTTTTGAATATAATTCAAAATTATATTCAATTATATATTTATAATAATCCCCCCCAGATTATTACCCCCCTAAATCCCCAGTATGGGTAGGTTTAGGATTATGCAGCCTCAACAAAGTGGGTAATAATTTGGCAGGGAGTTCAAATTCACACAACACGAGATGTAGTCTTTGATAAAAATACTATTACTAATGCTATTATTACTACTACGAATACTAACACGTTAAAAACACAATTAAATAAAATATTAAACCTGGTCCTGGCTTAACTAAAATATGAGGTTTTCTATTGACTTTTCTCTCAACTTTTCCTTTACATGGAGCAAATTGTGACACTGGATCATTTTCTTTCATATTTTTTTTGGCCATACAGCATGTTGAAAAACATTTTAATTGAGGCTTGATGTGTTGAAACAACTTGTTCATACCCTTCAGACAAGTAAATAGAATGCAGTCTCCCCTTGAGGGATGATATGTAATCCTCTCTCAGGTTCCTCTCAAAAGATTTGTTTATAAGTGCCAAGAGACGGCCAATGTCAATGTCATCTAGGCTGTTGTATCTGTGAAGAGTAAAGATACTCACATGACATACTGGTAAATGATTGATTAAGATAAATGAACAGACCAGAAAAAACCTGTCATTCACGGCTAATCTTTGTCAGGTTTGACGTCATTCATATCAGACACACAGTGAACACAATATCTTAAATATTTGTCTATAATAATAACAACCACATATGGTCTAATTGTACAGTACTTCCGACTGAGATATCCAGCCTGACACCTGTGGTAAAAAACGGCTTGTTTATTCTTGATTATTTAATGACAGACTAAATCTCTGACCGCTGATTGTAAAATATTGAAACCGTGATTATACACAAACATAGCTGCAAACAGCACTGTAAAATCGTCCATATGGTGGATAGTGAGACAATTTGAACTTAAAACATCTTAAAAGGGAAAGACTAAACTGCAAAAATCACATACCTGTGGATGGGATCTCCATTTTTAAACAGGGTGCCTGAGCCTGAAAGCAATACAGACATGTTTCCTTACATAGGTTTAAGAAATACAAACAGTTGAAACTTTGCTCTTTTTTTACTTGTCCAAGAAAATCTGTTATCATTAATCAAACTCTAATATTAGTAAATCTTTGTAAAATCCACCGCATTCAGCAGCTGCAAGGTGCCGTACTAGGCTACTGAATGCATTTTTAGAAATGACGGTGCATTCATCCCGCAGTTTATTTATGCGATATCCCAAAGTGTGCATAAAAATAGGTGGATGGAAAATGTTACCAAAACAAACCCTCGTCGCCAGTTTCTGCTAGCTGTCTCAGAGTCACACGACCTTTGACTTTAATGAGAGAAAAAGAGCAGGCCTACATATGAGTGTCATTTGTCTCGGTAAGTGTGTGTTTTCTCCCTTATCTCACCTTTATGGCTGAACAGCTCAGTGAGAAGCGTGCCAGCTGAGGTGAGTACGGCCGAGCTGTCAGCTGGCAGCAGGTTGAGCAGCTGTACAATGGTATTGATGCGTCTTTTCTCCATTTCACTCAGCCATTTCGCACAACTCAGGCCTGGCAAATCTCCCGGCAGTGACACTAAACCCAACACCTGAGGAAAAAAAGCAGACGATTTCAATTAGAAACAATTTAGACCATATTTTCAAATGTGTATTCATTATATGCACATTTATATTTGAGAAAAATAATACTTAAATAGAATAAAAAATAGAGAAGGTATTAATACCACCCAGAAATGTAGAAATTGTAACACTGCCACCTTGTGTTCACTTTAACAATCGTGAACAATCATTT